GAGGAGGAAAGAGGCGTGGCCTTTGTCGATTCCAGGCGCCATGGAGACTAGTCGAAAAGACTGCCTTCACGGCAGACGGCGTGTTGCAAATTCGAAGGAGGCATAGCATGGTGAATCGGTGGAACAAGGCCATGGCCGTGGGGCTTCGCCACAACCATGACATCTCCTTCATAGCGACGCAGCGGAAGACCATGGCCCTCATCTATTATGTCACAAATTACGCGACGAAAGTGGAGGATCCGGTGTGGAAGCGTGTGGCCGCCGCGGCAGAGCTCTTGACCACATCAACGGGTGAAGGGACGGCCAACGGATGGGGGAACGGTGGAGGAGGTGCTACCGATGACGCCGTCAAGGGGAACAGGACGCGGCAATTCTTGATGAGGGTGGCGAACCGCATATTCACGGAGCGATCACTATCGCAGGTCGAAGTCATCGCCCACCTTCTGGGATACCCGACCGAGTTCACCAACAGCAACGATTGGACGTTCCTAAATGTCTCTCTGCTCTACTGGCACGTCTTCCGACGATGGCGACACCTCCGGAAAGAGAGCGGAGCAGAGGCTGCAAACGATTCCGTGGACGAGTCGATAGTTGTGGAAGAAGCAGGTGAGAGGATTAGCTATGCTGAGGCATACCAGCACCGGGGAGACGTTTTGCGAAGCCTGTGTCTATATGACTATGTGTCGCTCGTCAGACTCAAACGAGTCGGTAAAGATGAGATCGCTGGCGCTTGGGGAGAGGTGCCATTTGAGAGCGAGTGGGAGTCTGGAAGAGGCTGGTTGCAGGTGCTGAGACGGCCGGGAAAGCACGCCAGCGTCTGCCTTGATGGCTACCTGAGCAAGGATTTCGACCAGGATGACGAAGAGTCGTGCTATCGAAGGTGGGTCTGCCGCCGCCGACGGAGTGTAAAAGGTCGTGTTGAAGAGACTAACCTCCATGCTGAAGAGCAGCGGTGCAGCATCTTGCGCTATTTGTGCCATGGGAGTCTTTCCTGTGCGAACAAACGGGCGACATCAACAGCATATGGGCGCGGGCTCGAGAGGCACTTCCTCCCAGAATATCATGCCTCGTCGATAATGTGCAACTACTCCGACGGTCGGCCGAAGACGCGAAACGCGACGCCAGGCAATGGGCAGCCTCAGCCGGCGACGCTGACTTCACGGCCGCACGTGCCGGTGAGGAAGGAGAAGGCGAGGCTGGTGAAGAGGCCGCATCGGTGTACCAGTCTGACAGCATCGGTAATGCAACGCGTCTGATTGACGTTGTGAGAAGTGCAGTAGGCGCCAACCAGATCACTGCCGGCTCGCCGGAGCTCATGGCAACAATGGAGCAGCTCTGTCGTTTCCAGCAGTCAGCACTGAGCTCGACTGCTGAGCTCCAGGCCACCGTAATGCCCGAACGGGGAGAAAGACGGATAAGCATACCAGAAGTGGCATTTTCGGGGACGGTTATACCACCGCAGGATCAGGTCAAGGCCATCAAGTCGCAGCAGATCCGTGCCTCCAGAGAGAGGGAGCGAATGATCCAGGGCATACAAAATATGGCCGGGGCCGATAAAACTGACCACAGTGCGGCGGTGCGAAGTGTGCTCACTGGTTTCGGCGAGGAGGATATCCAAATGACGGCAGCCGACTTGGAAGAGGAGACGGCAGGCGAGGCAGGTCCGCGCATGGAAGTCGACTTTGGTGCATCAACGTCCTTCCTTGAGGCAGGTAAGGCTCTGGCAGCGCGGTTCACGCTGAACAAGAGGCAGACAATCGCCTTCCTCATCATATGCCGCCAGCTCGACTCGATACGATGTAGCGGCAGAGGCGATATCGGTCAGCTCTGCGAATTTGTTGGTGGAGAAGGTGGAACCGGCAAGTCACGAGTCATTGAAGCACTCGTCGAGCTCTTCGCATCAAAAGGTATTTCGAACCGTCTGCTGATCACGGCGACGTCGGGGACTGCCGCAGCGCAGATCAACGGCATCACGATCCACTCCGCCTGCGGGTTCACCAAGGACCAAGCGGCGGGGGGCGCGAACACGGCCAAGGATCTCGACGGTGTGCGACTGCCAAAACAGGCTGAACGATTTGTCCATGGCCAGTCTCGTATGGACTGGCAGGAGAAAGACCTGCTAGTCATCGACGAAGTGAGTATGCTGGGGGCTCGGACGCTACACGCGGCGAACGAGCAGCTCTGCAGGCTCCGCGGGTCGCAACAGGATTTCGGAGGGATCCCCATCGTCCTTTTCTGCGGAGACTTCCACCAGTTCCGTCCGGTACAAGAGAGGTCGATCCTGCTGCCGAGCGTGGCCGTCTCGTGGGACGAAGACAACTCGTTCAAGGCCGAGCAACGGCACCAGCATGACAAGGCGCACGCGCTGTGGAAGAAGTTCACGACGGTCGTCATGCTGGACGAACAAGTACGCGCGGCCGGAGATCCGGAATTGCAGACACTGCTAAAGCGGATCCGGTCGGGCGTGCAGGACCGCACGGATTTGGACCTCCTCAACTCAAGATGCTACCGGGAAGGCAGGCGGATCCCGTGGGAAACGGGCATCACCGTGGTGACGCCGCTGAACCGGAATCGGTGGAATCTGAACATGGAGGCGGCCTTGTCGTTCCGGATCCAGCAGCGGTCGATGATGCGCATCTTCATATCCGAGCACAAATGGAAGGACGGCCTGCCGACGGAGGAAGAAGCCATCATGATGCTAAACCAGGGCGATAATAGCGCGGTCCCAGTACCAGGCGTCTTCATATTCGTGCCAGGGATGCCCGTCGTCGTGAACCACAATACCCATCAGGGCTTGAAACTTGTCAATGGGGCCAGTTACACGGCGCTTAACGTCATCCTCGACAAGGCGCACCCGGGCCATCGGATCTCGGCCGATACGATGGTCCACTTCGGGCCGCCGGCGGGGATAATACTGGAGTCGGAAACGACAAAGAACTTCCACTTCGTCGGAATGCCGCCCGGCACGATCCTGTTGATACCCACGAGTGTCAGCATACATTGCCAGCGAAAGCGGCCGTGGCAGCAGAACGACGTCAGCCGAAAGGGTCTGCCGTGCGCGGCGGCTTTCTCGTGCACAGACTACAAAGTGCAGAGCAAGACGCTCGAGCGCGTAGCCCTGGAGCTGCGGGGGGCGAGGACGACAAATGTCGACGGATACATAGTCCCCGCGCAATGCGATCCGTACAGCCTGTACGTGCAGCTGTCGCGGTGCCGGTCGCTGGACGGCATCATGCTCATCTCCAAGGTGCGGGAAAGAGATCTGGTGGGCAACCGGGTTCCCCAGGAGATGACCGTGGCAGAGGCCAGACTGGAGGAATTGAGCAAGAAGACTGTTCAGGAGGCTCTGCGGTGGCCGGATGACGATTTTCGAGGTCCAGGGGTCTGACCAATCCCCGTTGAGTGGAGACACGAAACTGACCAATGAGAGGGGCTCTTTTAAGTTTGAGGGCGGGGCATAGACCTTTCGTTCCTCAAGGCACAGGGGAAGGCGCACGTCCGCCGGGGGAAGGTTGGAAGCTGGGCGAGGTGGGCAAGTTGGCGGCTCCCTTGCGCTGAGTAGCCTTTCGGTACGAAGCTTGCAATAAAAGCCTGTATGCCTGTTTTACTAGTGGGTTGCTGCACGTATTGAGAAGAGGGCGCGGTTTTAAGTAGTCGGCTCTGGTGGGTGGATGAAGAGACTTGGCTAATAGGGCGTGTGTGTGTTTTACCTTTCTTTTGCGTAGCCAATAAGACCTATGCAGCAGGCTTTAAGGAGCAGGCACCATTTTGAGTGGCACGATTTGAAGAGCTTAATGCGGAACTAAGAGACCTAGCTAATAGGGTGAGGGTAAATAATTGAGACAGTAGACCAAGGGACTGAGATTAGCAGAGATCAGTTAGTTGCAATACGAAAGAGGGAAAATTATCAATTTAAGTATAAGAAACTGCCATGCTAAGATGTCCTGGTGTTAAGACAATCGGACTTTTATCACTCGCACTGGTGTTGAAACCGCACGCTTATTTCCCCCACATATCAACCTATAAGTTTTTCAAATCTAATAAAATAGCCCAAAGTACCACACACTATCACTATACTATGCTACTTAAAGTCTCTTTATCGGATGCCTCTTGTTCCTGCCACCTAGTTCGGTAGTTAATGACCTTATATTAGGACGAACGGAGGATCGGAGTGTGGCAGATATGTTAGGTGATCGAGAGTCCTCGTTTTCCTTCGCTTCACCTTCTTCATAGTTATCGTTTTTATCAGAGTCTATGGATATTAAAGGGGAGACCGGCGACCCTGTAATGACTAGAGATATTGCGGTAGTCATACTAGACCCCCTGAGTCTCTTGGGGATGGGGTTATTTGACCTTGACTGATATAATTAAGATGCGGAGATTGCGGGCCTTTTGTTCTGAGATGGAGTAATGGGCTATTGGGATGGACCTCCCTGCGACGATTATGATAATTGTGACTATGACTGTTGCGCCTATGAAGCTTTCTTTGAGGGAGATTTAAACATTGACCTCATCGCTGCGAAGCCGCCAGCTTGGGATGGGTCAGGTTCGGTTCTAGAGGGGGAGACTATGTTAGAAGTAGGTATAGGTGGCATGCTCTTGTCCGGAAACGTCCAAGAGTCGGGAACGACAATGAAAACGTAGTCCTTCTCATTAGCTGCAGGGGCAGCCACTATAAGACGATAGTCAAGCAGGCCAACTACCTTGCCGACGCAGTGGAAGGGAACACCTAGAATAAACTATGTATCTTTCCTATCTGCTATCTTCTTACAGAGGAGAGAGAATAGTAAAGCGTGAATAAGAAAGAAAATAAAAACTTGAAATGGGTAGAAGCCTTTGAAAGGACTCTTTGATAGCTGACCCGGAGTGATGTAGGTATAGCACTAGATAAATGCATAGCATCTCAGCTGCGCATCATCCAACAGCGGGACAGAGTCCTTAATTAAGTGGGTTTAACCTATCCCGAGAACCTGCCCCGTCAAAGAAATGACCGGTTAGATAAGTAGAAAGCCCCCACTATTACAAAGAGTTCATGGGTTAATACTAATAGGTATATTAGTAGCAAGCGCGATAATTAAACTCGAGCTAAGGGGAAAAGATAAGTCTACTTACGCTTAGTATCCAAAGTCGCGTATGAGAATAACTGGAACCTTGTATACTTCGCCGTCACTATCTTCATCGCTGAAAACATTAGGCTCCCATAGGACCCACTCTAGTGCGTAGGGGTATACTTTGCCAGTGAAATGGAACTACTAATTCTCCTACTCCGATTCAACAATCTACTAGTTATAGATAGAGAGGTTAAGACTAAAGTAGATCGGCAGTGGATCAGGGGATCGATGCCTTTCGGGACGTAGCATAGAATATTCAGGCAGTGTTATATAGGGAGGAGGTAGAAGAAAAACCCTACTAAGAGCTTCAACATTAAGGCTCTTTATAAGTTATTTATCTAATATAGGAAACCGCGTTAGGGTATCTAGCTAACTAAAAAAGAACATAGTTATATCACTACTAAGGTTTTTCGGAGAGTCATAAGGCATGCGCGGAGGGGGATAGCCGCTAAGGGTGGAAGTTAAGGTAGGATTTGAGGTAGAAGTTAATGAAGATATAATACATTGAACTAACAAATATTACGCTAAAAAATGAGAGAGCAGTTAGGATTATGACAGTGTGTATATAAGAGAGAGAGAGACAGAAAGCAATTATAAGATAAGCCTGCAAGATTAGCATATAAATATATAGAATAAAGAAGAAACACATCAGATATTTATAATCGATTAAATGATATAGTATATATAATACGAAGATTGATACCACTTAGTAAAGATACAGTACTTCGTTGCGCAGAGAGGATAGGCATCGCCGATCTCCATCTAATATTTTCAACTAAGAGCTACTATCCCTGCCGATGCGGATACTCGCACAATTAAATTAATCAATTAACGTAGATGGTAAATAGATTTGCTTTTTCCATGAGTACAAAGGATTGGCCAAAACGTTAGCACATATCGCCGATCATCGTAAAGCATCTTTAGTTAAGAGCCTTAATCCCTGCCAAGTAGATACTTGCACAGCGGAATTAATCAATCAACGTAGTTATTGAACAGAATTGCTTCTTCCGCGATTACGAAGGATTAACTAAGATATTAGATATTACCATTGCAATAAAAGTGGGTAAAGGGATATTTTAATCTATTAGTATATCAATACTACAGCGACCACAGCCATATAAATAAGAGGGTGGAGGAGTATAATGCCGTACTGGTATATTCGGTATAATAGCATACCGACTAGATAATGGGATAAATAATCAAGCCCGATATTATTAATATTATAATAATAAGAGGGTAGAGGAGTATGATATTCTACTAGTATACCGGTGTGACGATACTCCGAGTAGATAATGGGATGAATAATCAAGCCCGAAGTTAATTATTACGAAAGGATGAGGGTAAAGGAATATAATGCTCTATTGGTATGTCGGTGTAATAATACTCCGAGTAGATAATAGGATGAATAATCAAGTCTGATATTAGGATAAAATTAGAAAGAGTAAAGAAGACTATGGTGGGATAGACCTATTATTTATTGGAAGGTGGGTCAAGATAATGACGATAGACGATATTATTATATAGTTTGATAGGTATAATAGAGATAAAAGATGACGTGGGAGTATCGGGATAGAATGGGATTAAGAGCGGAGTAGGATAGGTTGGTGTGGGAGAATTGAACTCTGCCCTAGAATGTACCGATCATAAAATAGTATTGTAAATGGCATTAGCCTTTATCGTTTATATTTATAATGCTATTTAGCTTAATACACACGATTACATACACTAAGAATATACACCCTAAGAATACACTATATATACTATCTTATAATAGATTCGTTATTATCTACTTTACTTGAAAGGTTGCGTGGTCGAGCGCCTGGCAGCATACTCAGTAGTCTCGGGCTGAAGACGTATAATAATATCTTTAGTGCGGGAAACTCGAATATAAACGCAACACCAAGAGAATCACATTCTACTGTCTAACTAAGCACACCCGGTCATATTCCGGGTATCCAGCTTATGGGCCCGACATTAAGGAGGTCGCTCCCTACTATCTAACCGAGTATACTTAGTGATATTCCAGAACCCGTACCTATAGACGCGGCACTAGAGGGACCACAATTAGCGGACCAACTAAGTAAACTAGGTAATCACTAATAATACCAATTAAGTGTAAATCAAATCGACAATGCCAATACGCAAACATAGGCGGCAAGAAACTAGATGAGCCGGCCACCACCAGGGAGCACGACGCCGATACAAGTGCCTCCAAGAAAAAGAGGCAGACCGCGAGGTTCTCGTGCACTAAGGCGGAGAGATATTCGAGAAGGAAATCGGGTATAGGAATATCAGCCAAGTGCATACTAAGTCGACACCATCAATACTCAAATACAGGGACCTAAAAGCTGGATGAGTCGACCGCCGCTAAGGAGTACGATACCAATATAGGCGCCTCTAAGATCAGGAGGCAAGCCGCGAACTTCTCGTGCATCAAGACGGAAAGATGCCCGGGAAAGAAACTGGCGGCAAAGGAGATAAACCTAATAGCAAAGACCACTAGTTGCCGTTGGGACCCCACTAGCCAGTTCCTAGTTGCTATCTAATGCTCCATAGTAACTAAAACCTATACTAGTGTAACCGCTTATAGCACCAAACCCCACACAAGCTACAGAAATAAGCAACGCGAGCCAATATCACCGGCACAATATACTAGGCATGCAGCAATATATAAGCATTCCAAGCTTTTTAGATATGGATTAACATGGCCAATAAGAACTTGGCGCCAAGCGTAAGGCTAACCAACACGGATAAGAACAAAATAAAAGGCAAAATCGAACATAGGTTAAGAATAGTAACCTTGAAGAGCAAACCTAGGCATTTAAGAGAGCTATTAAGTATCTGGAAGATAAATTTATAGAGAAGGAGAGAATATCCTACATAAAGAATTAGCGTAAGCCGGTCCCCCGTGAGAGGAATATATCTACAGTCATGGACTTTTATTAAGCATTTCACAACATAGAAACCCTACCTATACACACATATATGATATGCTATCAGAAGATCAGCACCATAGAGATGAAAGAGCTTAGCTAGGAAGAGTAGATAAATAGCACAGCGATAAATAGTTGCCGCACGTATTCATATCCCGATTGCTTCCTTGTTGGCAAGGCTATACCGAGCTGCGAAAACTATGCAATGAAAATCCGCGAATACAATATAGCGCGGGGCGGGAACTTATATCAAGCACTTGGTTGCGAGCATATATACCCGGATGCTCTCAGAGACTTGATATTAGTTAAGGAGAAGCTAATCGCACTTAACACCCATTTCGGTTTCATTGTAAGAATTAAAGTCACAAAAAGCACTAAACAGAGTATGGCATATACATGGCATGTGAAGGGTCATATAACTATGTTTCCAAATAATGTTTAAGACTTGGTTACCACAGTACTACCATATCCGCTTCTATAATCTTTGGAGGATATCCATATATCCTGGCATAGGCCGCAGAGACTAGCCCCTAGCGATCTATCTAAGTTGCTCTTAGTCCGGCGAGGAGCTATGGAATGGGCGTTACTTTAGCTAAAAGAATTTAACCCCCACTATCGGCATATCGAAATCGATAAAGCCGAGTTAGATAGTTAGGGAGAGCCGGCGCATAGGGTTCCGAGCTAGATCTATGATAGGATAGAGAGAGATGAACCATCGGCATAGGAAGAAACGCGAATAGCGCATATTGTGCCCCCGGCAGAACGTGGAATAGATGACACTAGGCCCTAGTCACTCGAATAGATTGTAGACGGGCTAGGCAGAGCGTATGATGAGAATGATATAAGTTACGACGAGGATTAGTAGCTCTATGACGAGCGTAGTCGGGAGGAGCTCGAGTATGAGGGCATGGGAAGCTTTCTTAATGAGATGCTTGCATCTAGTATGTTTCCGCTGGATATAGCACCGCGAGCAATAGATGCCGATAAACTGCAATTTGCCATTAATATAATCAGAGGTAGACAGATAAATGCGCAGGCATAGCCGCCTAACCCGCCGGCTGGGAGCGCGCAGGATTCGCACCTTCAGCCATATATTCATATTTCAAGAGGCAATGAGTTTGCAGATGTTAATGATCTCTGGTATCTTGCAAAAGCATTTCTAATACTATTCCCGTTCGGTTTTAGTGGGCCACGGTATAAGGAAGAGATAGAATCGGACTTATAGAAGAATAGTGTCTAGCTCATAGGGCATATCCGTAATAGAGATGGTATTGGAGAGGGTAGAGAGGATACGATTTCGCCAACACGTAATCTCGGACTTCGCGCATAGATGAAGAAGGTGCTGCAACGATATAGTGGTCGCTTTGCTAATTATCCGGCGTTTTTATTCCTAGTCTTTAACATAGAGGTTCGGTCTAGGAATAGAGGAGTAAGTATAGTGAGCGTGCGACGGACCGATTTTCCTGAGGTTGAGAGGATCATTTAGTCATTAACACTAGACAGACTAGCGGAAGTGTAAAAGGAGTTAGAGGCTAGCGGGAGCACCCGAGATGAAGATATCAAAAAGCTCCTGCGACACATCTCATACTTTGGCTACAAACAGGCCATATCGCAGGAGTCGCGGCTAGCCATGCGCAGAAAGATTAAAACGCTTATTATTAGATATGGTATACCGGCGATTTAGTTTACGCTAAACCCTAATGACATTACGAACCCGGTAAAACTACGTCTAGCGGCATATCGAAAGGAGGATAAGGCTAGCGCGGAAGTAACCCTACTTCGGGCCCTTCAGGATAGGTATAAGAGAGTAAAGCTAGCGATAACCGACCCCATAAGCTCTGCCATCTTCTTCCACCGCGAAGTAGAGATATTCTTTGAGCATTACGTTAAGGTTAGGGAGGAATCTATGTTTAGTCAGATTGGATAGTATTTCGCCGCCGTCGAGACCAACGAATGCGGTGCTCTTTATGTCCATGGTTTGCTATGGCTCGAGGGGAACTTAGAGCTCGGAAACTTCATCGGTGCTCATAGAAACGGGGAGGATAATAAGAGTGTAGCGATAGAATGGGAAGGAATCCTAAAATATATCGATTCTATCTTTGCCGAGGTATATATATCTATATATCCACGTAACCAAAAGCCAACGTAGGTCGGAAGCTAAACTATTATCTAGGATCTAAACGAATCTGCTACCTTTAATGAGGAGAGCCAGACTAGGGTGGTTTATGATAACATATCCCACTTGATGACCGATATAGGGCGCTTCTCTGAACAGTTTAACGATGAAGCCCACTTTTGCGCGGGCAGGGTCTAGATGCATATCCACACCGCAACTTATGTCAAATACTCTCATAACAAGGAGGGAGGGAAAAAGCCTACGTGTCGATTCCATGCGCCTTAGAAGCTCTTTACAAAAAGCGAATTCGGCGCGGATAGTATACTTCGGCTCTAACGCTCACATCCCATAATCAACCGATGGAATAAGTCAATGGCGGTTAGGTTGAGGCACAATCACGACATCTCCTTCATCGGAACCCAAAGCAAGATAATAGCGCTGATATACTACCTAACAAACTACGCCACAAAAATCGAAGATCCGATCTAGAAGAGAGTAGCCATAGCAGCAGAGCTCTTTCCGAGTATTAGCACAACCAGCGCCGTCGGGCTTAGTGCAATAACTGCAAACTATGAAGCCAAGGCAAATATAAACCGCTAGTATCTAATGAGAATCGCAAACCGAATATTCACCGAGAGGCCATTATCGCAGGTGGAGGTGATTGCGTACTTCTTGGATTACCTAAGTGAGTTCTCGAGTACTAAACAATGGTTATATATAAATATAATAATGATATACTAGGCAATACTCCGACGCTGGCCGCATCTCCAGCAATGCAGTACCGGTAGCATTATAGGCGACGATAATGATAGACCTATCGAGAACATAGGTGGCAATAGCAACGGCAACGACGCGGAAGCCAGCGCGGAGAGGGTCTTAGTGGGAAGCGATAGTAAGAAGCTACTATACATTGAAGCCTACCACCACCGTGGAGAGGTGCTGCAGATATTATGCTTCTATGACTACGTGTCGCTTATTATATTACAAAAGAGGATAGATTCATCTTCCAAGGAGTTAGTGAAGATAGAATTTGAAATGAACTGGAAGCCGGGAAGGGACTGGGTGTAGGTTCTAAGACCCCCGGGGAAGTATGCAGTGCCATGCATAAACGGGTTTCTCGATATAGACTTTGATATTGACACAAACGCAGACAGATACCGCAGGTAAGCATAAGCCATAGAACAAATAGGATAGATAAACGAGGAGCATATACTAATATTAGCACCAGAGCTACAATACAGCACCTCGCACTCTTTATGCCATGGGAGAAGTTCACTATAGCAGCATTAGGCGATATTAATGAAATCTGGGAATACTAGAGACGGCGACTCCCCAAAAGACTCCAGACTATCGCAAGCAATATCTAGCTCTTAAAGCGATCAGCGGAAGATACGCGGCGAGACGCGAAGCAGTAGGCAGTTACAGGGGACAATGCCATTTTAGATAATATCGATGCTATGGGGGATAATATCTAAGATTCTATGGGCCCAGTAAAAGCATATCGCTTAGATCAGGTTAGCCAGCTTCGCCGACTAATGGAAATAGTACGGGGTGCCACAGCTCCCAACCAGGTGACCGCTAGTTCGGAGTCTCTCGTTAAGCTACTAGATTAGCTTTATAAAGCCCACGTAGATATCACCGACTTTGCAGATGATCTTAAGACTATCGCCCCTGCTGAGAGCCTTAAGTAGTACTAGCCAACTATAGTAGCTAGAAGCGAGCTCCCAATGCAACATTAGCTCAGGGGGATTAAGAGCAAGCAGGATAAAGCCGACAAGGAAATTATGCAAAGAATCCAAGGCTCTGACGGAGTTTAGGATACTTAGAACACGGCTGCCGGCATAGAAGCATTATTAAACCATACTTTTGCGGGTGCAGGAGAAGATAGCATAGAGATATCGGAAACAGACACCAGGAATACTAATAGACCTAGCACTACGGTCGCTTTTGGACCGTCAACCATATTCCTCCATGCCGGTCGGTAGATCGCAAGCAGGTTCACCCTAAACGAGCGGCAGGAAATTGCCTTCCTTTTAGTATATCGCTATCTTGACACTATCCCGGACGAAGGTGATAGCGATGATTTCGATAGTAGTAATATCGAGAACAATAATAACGCACAACTATGCGAGTTCCTAGGTGGGGAGGGCGGCACCGGGAAGTCCAGGGTCATCGAGGCGTTAGCGGAATTATTCGCTAGCAAAGATATATCGCACAGGCTGCTCATAACGGCGACATCGGGGGCCGTAGCAGCGCGGATTAACGGCGTGACTATTCACTCCGCCTGTGGGATGCAACCCAACGCATCCGACGGCAATGCCGACGATAGCAGCACGGTAACCTACATGGACGGTAATACCTAAAGAAGATAGAGCGAAAAGTGGCTGCTTATTATTGACGAGGTAAGCATACTAGGCCTCCAGACGCTCTCCAATATCAACAAGCGGCTTTGCGCCTCCCGAGGATTAAATCAAGATTTTAGCGGCATCCTAGTGGTGCTACTATCAGGAGACTTCTACTAATTCCGCCCAGTGCAAAACAAGTCGCTATTGACGCCATAGTCCGCCCTCAGGATTGCAGATAAAATGAGGGCGCATGCACTCTAGGCTCGATTTACCACCGTCGTTATGCTCACCGAACAGGTGCGCGCAGCGGGGGACCCATAGCTGCAGCGGCTGCTGACTCGGATCCGGCAGGGGCAGCAAGACGAGTCCGACATAGAGCTTCTTAATAGCCGGTGCTTTCAGGAAGGCCAAGCCATACCATAGGGCAGGGGCATCATAGTAATTACACCCCTTAACAGTAATAGATAGAGCCTAAACATAGATGCGGTCTTAGCCTTCCAGAGGCACCACTAGAAGCCAGTCCGGATATTTCTACCCCAGCACCGTTAGGGTAAACCCAGTATATTACCGGTAACGGAGGAAGAAGCTACGCTCATAGCCAGCGTCGGAGATAATAGCAAGATCTATGTGCCGGCCACGTTTATATTCGTGCCTAGCATGCCGGTGGTAGTAACGAAGAATATAAACCCAGGCCTTAAGCTCGTGAACGGGGCCAAGTATAAAGCACTAGAAGTTATACTAGACTCTAAGAGTTTCCTAGGGTATCAACTCGCCTCGAATATCATCCTCCACTTTAGACCACCTGCCGGCATTATCCTATCGTCCGAGTCCACTAAGAAGTTCAAGTTTAATGACATACCACCAGGCACGGTCCTGCTTACTCCAACAAGTGCCCAGATACCCATCGAGAAGAAGAAGAGGGCCAAGAAAAGGCCTTGGCAGAGGCACGAAGTGAGCCGCCGAGGACTTCCCTGCACTGCCGCGTTCGCATGCACCGATTACAAAATCCAAGGCGAAACCCTCGTCGAGATTACGCTAGAGCTACGAGGAACCGGAACAAAGCTAAATACGACAACTAGACAACTCGAGCCAGGAAAGTGCGATCCGTACAGCCTGTATATGCAGCTATCGCGGTGCAAATCGCTTGATAGTATTATGTTACTATCAAAGGCATGGGTGCAGGACATAGTCGGGAATAAAATACCATAGGAAATATTTAATAGCGAGGCTAGGCTAGAATAGTTATGCGAGAGGACAGTAAATGAGGCCCGATTATCGTTATTATCATATCTATCTACACAATACTAGCAGTAATATAATTTAGATAACTATTGGATTATGACCTTATATTACGAAACCTCTAATAGATCGATATGCCGACCTTAGTCAGAGGCGGCGTAAGATGACATAAAACCCCTCTCGAGAAAAGAGGGGGCCGCGAGGCATCCTAGATTAATACAATCATCATCTTTAGTCTCCATACTCTATTGACCATTAATCCCTTGGATTGAATGTATGGTACGCGATCCAATAATAACTAATATATTAATTACACCTAACTTAAGCATAAGAGAAAATATCATAAAATATAAAGACAAGAGCAATAATGCGATTACATAAACCGAGCTCGCACGTGCATTTCACGTGCATTTCACGTATGTCTTAACAGGAAACCCTCAAAAGAAGACTCCTTTGCACTTAATCTCAGAGAGCGAATAAGAGTTCATATATGCGCATTGCCAAATGAGGAAGAGAAGATTGGCACCTCTGAGGGGCATTCGGATGGGGTTAATCCGGACCAATAGGAGGTGTAGTTACGCTTCCTAATCGGGTAATCACTTAATGCGGGTGGGGGGAATCCCAGAGCTTAAGAAGACCTTTCGTACCGAAAGGCAAACGCCCTTCGGGCTGAATTATTATTATTATTATTAAACTAAAGAGATTAAGCTAAAGAGATAGATTAGATTAGATTAGATCTAAGGCGAGAAGTGAAGCATAAGCGGTGATGATTGATTGATTGATGCAGGGCAATCGAGGTAAGCATTTCGGTGCGGCGTAAGTGATTGTTTTAAGGCGCGGGTTGGCGAAGACAACGGAATGAAAATGATAAAGCGGGTGGTTTTGGAGAGTGGTTTACTATTATGGTTCGAGTAAGGAAATGCCACATCATATCACGTCGTGTCATCATCATGTAGTGGCATAATAATTGGGGTGCAAATAGGGGAGGTGAGGATGGTTATTAGCGAGGCACGGAGAGAGATATAAATGGGTGTAGGGTAGGTGAGTGGAGGAGTAAAGGCCGCTTTTTTTTCTTTTTTTTTTTTTTTTTTTCGCCGCATTGGCCGGGAGTGGTTTGAGCGGGGTTAAGGACGGATAAGAAGACGAAGGAAGGAAAGGGGGCAAAAAGGAGAAAAGGGAGTCGTTAAGGGGAGAAGTGCGAGAGGGAAGGCGGCTCATCGAGCGTTCGTTGAAGAGGGAGAGTGAACGGGAAGGGAAGAAGGAAGGGGCGGGGAGAGTCAGGGTCAAAATGGTCAAAAAAAAAGCGAAGTTAAGGGACAAACGGACAAAGGAGGTCAAGCGTTGAATAGACGAGTAAAGTCAAGGGAGTAAACGTGGTTGTGTTGGAGAGGGTAAGTCAAAGAGGCGTTAGTAGACGAAGAGCACGGTTGGTTGCGGGTTTCACGTTGTTCGATGATAATGATGATGATGTGAGGTCGAATAAGGAGATAGGCGGGGCGGGCCAAGTCAAAGAAGTAGCAAAGTTTTTGCGGGTAGGGTTATAAGGTAGATAATAAAAGAGAGTATGGTTACAGTTTGGCATTACTGGGAGTTTATGGGTTCGGATGGTTTCGGCGGGGTAGAGGTGTATAGAGGTATGTTCGAGGATGGTCACAAGGCAAAGGAAGAGTAGGCAGGGGAGAAAGCGAGGCCGGGACAAATAAGCAAGGTAGCAGAGTTAGGAGTTCGCCGTGGGCACGGGCGAGAAGGTTAGAGCGGCTAAGGATAGGTAAAGCGTAGGGAGCGGGTAGGTAGGGGAGTAAGAGAGGACAAGGCGAGTCGGCAGCAAAGGGGGTCGTAGAGATGGGGATGTAGGAGGAGGAGGGAGAGGCAGATTATCAGAGGAGCCAGCGGTTGATTCAACAAGTGGAGGCAGAGCGGAGGTTATAGGTGATGCAGGAGGCAGAGGGGGTGGGCATGTTTGAGGATATTTTGGCAGAGTGGGCGGGGGTGTTGTGGTGCATGCAAGATAGATAGAGAGGTCAGAGGAGGTATATCACGAGGCAGAGATAAGGGGAGTAATTTACGCAGGGATGCCGCAGAGGTTAGGGGATTTCATGTAGGGGATTTCATGCAAGAGAGCGGGCATGGAGGGCGAGATAGAAAGAGAAGCGAGGTAATTATTTATTTATGGTACGTAGAACATGGATATAGGAGCAGCGGGTCGTACGGACGAAGGGGAGGAGAGAGAGAGAGAGAGAGATTTGGGTAATAATAGGGATAGCGGGGATAATAAGGGGGGAGGGGGCAAGCAATGGATGCGAACAGTTGGGGTGCAGAGGTTATGAAATTTATAGAGGGTAGGGAGTGCCGACGGGAGGAATTGGACCGAGAGATAGATGGGTTCATGGGGCGAGTAAGGCGCGAGGTAGGAGAAGAAGAGTATTGCGATGTTTATAGCGAGCGAGCGTTAAGTATAAAGATATAGGCATTGGTAAGGGACGCATGATGGGCCGGTGGAGAAGGTAAAGATAAAGAGGATATAGCGAGGGCGGCCGAGATTGAGGCAGATTATGAGGGAAGCAGGAGGCTGATCCGGCAGACAGAGAGGGAGCGAGCGTTGAATATGATGAAGGGGGCGCAAGATGCGGCGGATTTTGAGGCAGAGTTGGACGAGTGGAGTAGGTGTCGCATCGTGTATAAGGAGGGAGGGTATAATGACGACGAGGAGGATGTTGAGTAGGGAATAGATGCGTGTGCGAAGAAAGGGTCGCGGATGTGGCAATTGTTCACGGAGAAAGGCAATGAGGTCGGGGAAGGAATGTTTAAGAAGAAGAGGTTTATGCGTTGAGCCGCGGTGCGATGAGGCATAAGGGGTCGAGGTATGAAAGTGAGTTTTAGTGGGTTGTAGTCGCATCAGATTTGTGATATTGGTATGATTGAGCGAGTAAGTAGGGTGAAGAGGGAAAATGAAGCAGCGTATGACGAATCGAATTCTATTATGTAGGGAATACAGTTCGTTGGGCATGCAGAAAACGTGGCGAGTCATCCCCTGACTCGGTTGCGCGTGTTCATGCAGCCGATGCAACGATGCAACAGTCCCGGTAGCAGAGGGGGTGAAACTCACTTTCGGCCAACGCTGCTTCTCGTCGGTTTCCTCTGCAGGATACGACGAGAACGGTTGGCCGTTGGACGACTCGACCCCTGGGCTCACCCGAGAAATGCTGGGTCACCCGAAGGGAGAGATGTTGCCTCATCCACCAGGAGCCGAGCCGATCCCTGCTACATCGGTGCGACCCTCTCCCCTGCCAGGATCGTTTGCTGCCTTGTAGATATACCGTGCACTATGTCCATGCACAAACTCCAGGGATGGACCTCGTTAGATCGAGACATCTGGAGATGTAATGCGACTTGTGGGCTGGCGAGAAATTACTGACAGATGTCGTATCGCTACGGGCCCGCATATGATCACCGAGGTCCGTGACAAACCCCATGGATAACAGAATCGATCGGGGAATAGTAGCAGCGGTAGTGGGAACGCGTCGGCTTAGGTGGACGGGAAACCCCTGTCACCGGGAGTGACACCCTGTGGCCCTCGTACGATGCGAGCAGAATATTCCTTGCCTGCATCAATTTTGACTTTTCCCGGGGAGGAGATTGTTCCACATTGATCTAATGATCCGCGCTGTCCGCGCAATTAATGCCCCCGTTTCTTGCGGTCCACTGAGAGTGTCCGTGTTGCTCTTTGACACTGCGACATTATCTTTGCGAGCCCAAGGAAGAAGCTGCAGTACAAGTCTTGATGGGTAGTTCTCTAATTTGAGAGTTTTGGGTCTGTTTGTCTGAGACATGTCTTGAAAATTAATGGGCTCTCCACAAGCTGTCGATTTTATGTATATTAAATCTCGATCAAGCACCTGTGGTGCCACTACGCTCCCTGTGTACATCCACTGTCCAGCTCTGCTCGACAAGCACCGTCTGGCTTGTCTGACTATGACGGTCCCACGAGCCATTGGCCTCAGAAGCTGCCGTAACAGTAGCCTGGTTTCCCCGGTCGCGAGACTTGCCCATATCCATCATTTCGTAATTCTGTCTCCGATAAGAAGCATTTGAAGCCATGTCAGCGACCGACATTATTCCCCTTGCGGACTTGTCTCGAGGACGGGTCGTGTGGGCCGAAGCTGAGGCGTAGCCACTTGGTCCGCTTCTGCTTCTACTGTTGCTTCCCTTGCTGCTCGCTCCACGAAGGTCTCCTGCAATCATCTGTCCCGATTCCAGACTGTCGAGGAATGGCTTGAGGTAGGGAATACACGTAGCCATGACGCTCAAGCACAGAATGACTTGGGTTATGATGGTCGGCGGCCACATGTCAAAGATGGGATTGTTGGATTCGGTCGCAGCCTTGTAGTAGTACATGTGGCAGATGATAGGAGGAATGATGCTTTACATCCTTTGTCAGTATTGTGCTTTTGCCAAGAATGAGGCTGCTTACAATGTGCGGCACCCAAAAACGCCAATGACCAACGTCTTCTTGGCGACCGATGTCTTTAAGTGGATGAACATGTCGACAAGAATTGAAGTGATTGCGAGGTCGGTGATGATGTTCAAAGCATCAACGTAGACCCAGAAGGCGTACTGTAGCAGTCATTAGATGCAGTCTCTTCCATCAGAATATGCGACGTACCCGATTGAAGCACTGGCCTTCCACGTAGTCCCAAGGCTCCGGGATAGAGCATTGGAAAAATGAAGCTGCTATCGATGATAGTGCCCAGGCACCAATCATGCCTTCGGTGGCCCAGATCAAGCCTCGACGCTTTCGAGGAGCCATACCCCAGATGGTCCTCGTGGCCGAGATCTTTGCCAAGAGCAAAGTGAGAATGAATAGTACGTCCGATGTGTATTGCGCCTGTGATGCAGACATGTCTTGTTAGCGCTTTGACTCTCGAGTCGGTGATGCTTCATAATTCTCCGTACCTTCAAGATTGACGAGACCTGATCGGCGGACAGGCCTTGCATCTTCCCCAGTCCGTTGGCACCCTGGATAATGACGGCGATCGACTGCGCAATAGCCATGATCTTCTGCAGTCAGCAAGCGACAACCAACAAAAAAGAAGTCTAGAACCAACCGTGGAGGCGCCAACAAGTATGTCGTCCAGCTTGAGGTTGCCCGCCGTTGCCATTCTGGTCACCAAACGGGTAATGGCAGATAGAATCGAAATGACCATGAGTAGAGCCGTCACGGCCCGTATCAACGGCGCCTTGTTGAAGGGCGTCTCATGCTCGCGAGGCAGAATCATCGTGTGGGCGCATCAAGTTGCAAACTCGCAGCGTTGGCAGCGGAGATTTGAAGCCACAGAATAATTCAAGGGATGGCAGGCCTTTTCGCCTGTTGGTCAATCATCCGCCAGCCACAGAAATATCTCTGCTGAAAAAGACGAACCACCACTTTTCGCAATCCAGACAACCGGGAAAACAACCCCCAAGCACCAGGGTACGAGCACCGTGTGATAGCCAAGAACGTGCCTCCTTTAACCTTGACACTGACAGGCACATGCCGTCCAATCGCAAAAATTAACCGTAACGGCCCACCGCACATCCGCTCAACTGAAGCGTCTCGGCTCAGGCGGGATCGACAGGCCCCCGATCCGCCCGTGACAGGGCCATCCCGGCAGATGGACCTTAATCCAGCTTCCAGACTGGTGATAGATCTGCCGCAGCGTCCACCGGGCGGTCCTTGCTGCTCCCCGGTTGCTGGGTTCAGGGTCTTAATGACAAGGGAGAGATACGTGATAATGTAACTCCCGCTTACCAGCGACACGTCGTTAACCAACAGACATATGCATCTCTCTGCATGTGCCGTCAATGCGAGACGCGCTAAATCAAACGAAATGCCCCCCTGGGCCCTTGCTTTACCCATTCAGGCTTTTCGCGTTAGTTCCATGGCCAGTTTTGCTTTGCAAACCAAACTCAAACCTTCATTCATCAGCTCAGTCTGCGGCGCATGCACACCACAGTTGTCACATCCCTTATCACCCTCGTTTACGTCCCGAAGCTTTCTTCAAGAGGAAGGTAGGAGGTGATTGTACCGAAGCGAAGGATGAGGCTTGAAAAAATCTCCGCTGTCTGCTAAGAAAGAGTCATATGTGACGTGGCTCGGCACCTTAGAAGGATCCATTATTGTTAGTAGTGTCGCTCCAAGTATGCGTCAATTCGCCGAACTCGGACAAACTGCTCCCCCTTTTTAAACGACCTTGATTCTGTCGCATCACCGTCAGAGCAACACTCCTTCGACTGTGAACGGTGCAATTTGTCAACATGGCGTCGAACGCTTTGGTGCTAGAGAAAGCAACTCTGGAAGACGTTCCTGCGCTTACTGAGTTATGGTACGCCGGGTTCACAGACCCCGGGGTGCGATACTTGTGGCCCGATACTCCAGGCGTGCGCAAGTGGTGGGATGAGGCCAACCGCGAGGATCTTGTCAATAAGACCTACCAGCACTATATCAAAGTTATCGATCCCAGTTCAAAGGATCACCGGGGTCGGCCGCGGATAGCTGCCTTTGCGAAATGGGACACGGCTACGCAGGAGGAGCGAGGACCTCGATATCCCGCTTGGAACCCGGACATGCCTCTCCAAGCGATCGAGGATTTCATTCAAAGTCTGGAGAACTCAAGACAGCAAGTGATGGCTGGGAAGACAACGCATTACTGTGGGAGTTTCTTTATTTCGCTAAGGGAAGCGATGCTGACTGTTTTTAGATCTTGATACTCTCGTCACACATCCCGAGTATCAAAGACGAGGTGCCGGCTCAATGCTCATGAAATGGGGTTGCGATCTTGCAGACGAAAATGGTGCCGAGCTGTACGTAGATGCAAGCAAGGACGGCTCATTCCTTTACCGGAAATTTGGTTTCATTGAAAAGACCCTTGAGGGTGAACCTGCAGCTGGAATCATCCCGATGGCTCGGGCCCTTACAGAGAAGAGCCGAAGTGATGGGCGCATGGACCGCGTGCTCGTGTGAGGAGGCAGTGAGAAGACAGCCATTGGAAAGTGATATTAATCACCAATTTTTGAACATCCAAGAGACATGCGGGTTTCTAGATGGCCTACCTAATTCAGCGTAGTTCTAGAAATGCGAGGCCATGCTGCTTGACTGATCATTGGTGTTCTAGATCTGTTCTGGTGCTCCATCAGAAGGATGTAGGGTACAGGGGGTTGGTTGCACAAATTTGATCACCCCTGTTTTTTTTAGTCAACTCCTCTTTTTTATTTGCGCATGAAGTTCTGTTCTTTGCTTCTTACGTCTTCTTTATATAATTAACTTTGCTAGTGCACTTCTTCTAACATTACAACCATGTTTGATCCACATGTTCCAGAATCATTGTTTCTCAAAGTTAATTCAATTGGATTCAAGCAACCCCCGTCAACACCACCGCTTTGACTTTCAGATGCTACGTTACATAAATAGCGTTATTCAAAAACTGGTTCTTGATACTTGAATTGTTATACTTCTCTCTTTCGAAAGGGAAGTACGTAATTGCAAAACTTAGGCTCGTCCCTCAGCATTCAGCTTCATATCCTCATTCCCAAATGGTGACTTCGTCATGGATTCCAGTCCCACGAACCAAGGGAAGAAGTTTCTCAATGGATTCCTTGCCCATTGGCTGGTCGACGAGAACGAATGGATGCTCTTGAGCACCTTGGATACCGTTCTTGACCTCCTCGCGAACCCACTAGATGGAAGGTCAACCGCCAATCTTCACATGCCTTGAGCGAATTTCTACATACCGGGATTCCAAACGAGGTAAACATTATGTGGTCCGGGCGAACCCAGTCATTCTCTAGAACAGAGCGGTCCAGTGCCCCAGTCCAGAGAAGCACCACATGAGGCCAGTTGAGTTCAGCCGGGAGGCTGGTAGGGTCGACTTCATATCCAATGGGCGAACCGCACACTCCGCAAAAGTACCGCCATCGGCTCGGCGAAGATTCGTAACGTTTTAGAGGTGACGCTTCATCAGCCGAAAAATTGGAACTCATCGAAGCCCAAGGTGTCCATGTCCGCTCGTCGCCAGAAACCGGTGTAGTCGTTTTACCGTCCGATCCAGTCTCGGGAGCCATGATGGAGATGCTAACAGTCGGAGCATGAGTGGGCATTCCATAGACACCTATCTGAGCTGTTGCAGCACGACAGCCACCGCAATGACAGACAACAGACATGGGAAATCGAGGTTGAACTGAATCAGGAAGTTCAACACCTGGAGTCTTGTACGGACTGAGAGGACGGTCCTCGAAGGGAGGCACAGAGGCCTTGAATCTCACTGCTTTGCATCTGCACCCCCCTTGAAGCTCAAATGCGTGATCAGGAAAAGGCATCACAGAAGGTGGCCTTGGTGCAGAATGACATTGGTGTTTGAGCCTATGACAAAAGGGACGGTAAACCTTCAATTTATAACACGAGCCCCTCGTCTTGTCCGAGTTTTCCGAACTCGAATCCTTCCGTTGATAAATATCGGATGTCGCACCCAGACTGTCAGACTCCTCCCTCTTTCGGCATGCTATAGTCTGACATGTACAGTCTGACAGTGGTGGGCGCCAATCATGAATGAAGCCCAGAGTCGCAAATCGGCCCATAACACCAAACTCGCCCATCGGTTAGGCTTTAGCGTTACGGATACCATCATCCAAAAGCTATGCTTACACTATCATGATAAGCATAACTGAGGGGTTATGGTGGATGGAACCGAAGCGGTGAGCCTGGAAATAACATCATCATTCGGGATAAACCTGATTCTTGGCATTTTTTTGAGATTCCTCTTTGCTATTAGCACTATTATATATGATTGCTGCCATGCGATACTGTCTGCCATTGTGTGAATATCTTCCGTGGCACATGTATAGGTATGATTCAGGAATTTCACTCATAACGAGATATCAATTTATTTGACTGTATCAAGCGCCGTTGAATCTCATACGGTGTCAATATCGTATTCAAAGCTCTTTCGTCTGCTACTGTGGCTGGCTTTCAGTTGTAAATAGGTGAACAAGTAATACCGAGATAGGCTCAGGATATTAATTTCTTTGTGTGTATCTCTATTGTTTGTCTGTCTTCTTTGTCTTCCAACACCCAATGCCTACACAAATACGAGTGAAGTTGTTCCTCAAAGGGAACCTCCCACACCATTCTTTTTGTTTTGTTCACATATTGTCCACCCAATGACTAACCCCTGACATGCACTATATGATTCGGGCAGTGCTACGGGTGTGGCGGGCAAATGTGATGTCTGGAATTGTTCACCGTTATGAGACGTCCGTTCTTATTGCTAATTCTCGTTCGGCTCCGCATCAGCTTATCTTGGTAGTGTATAAATCAGTCTTTTGCCTCATTTCTCCATGTTCATTGCTAGGCGATTTCTGACCGTTGCTGAAACAGGCGACTAGACAATCCCCGCACCAAGTACCACGGAGGTTACATCTTCGATGACAGACGGTCTGAGACTCCAGGGAGATTCCCTTCCTATCGAGTACCCAACTTACGATTGGGGCAAGTCTCCATCCACTGATTACCACGATCATGACTGGTTCTGGCCTTTGAATAAGCGAGTTCTTACGGTATCCTTACTCAACGGAACAAATGAGGAGAAGAACATCATCATCAACCTCATAAATGAGCATTACAACACAATCAAGATGGGTATCCGGTTCAAGTTCCTTCAAGACGGTGACTCTACCCTATCCGACATCCGAGTCGCGGTGACAACGAGCTCTGAGTCAACCGACGGGTACATGGCTACCACTGTTCCCCGTAATGTACCAACTTTGCGGCTTCAAATGTCACTGAGCCGCCCGGGTGGCCCCTCTCAACGACGTCAGCACTCTTAGCGACTTTCCTCTGCCAGGGGCAGCACCTTTGCTACCACCAACTCGATTCACCCCTCGTCCATCACCAAACCTCAGTACCTCGTCCTCCTCTTCTGGACCCCATCTCAGCGCTTCGTCACCCGTATCGTCTGGTGCTACCACCCCTAAGGCGTCTGTCACGGAGGAAAAGCAGGAGGAACCCGAGGCCGGTGACGATCTTGGCGGACTTAACGATGGACCGTTGTTCATCCTTCAGCCACGAACCTACACGCCGCAACCGCCTGCCACACCCGTGACGCCTGTGGTTAAGAGCCCTGAATCACCCAAATTTGAAGAACAATTCCAAAGGCAGACTCTTACACAGCCTATCCGAGAACCTGTAGGACTTGCACAGCCCGTTCGGGAATCAACAGGATATGCAGAGCCTGTCCGGGAGTCGGTAGGATTTACACAGTCTGTCCGGGAATCAGTGGGATTGGAGAAGAGGACATCTTTGCGGCAGCGTGTGTCACAGAAAACAACACCGCCCGTATCTATCCAAATTCCTCCAAGGAACACCATCGAGATACAGTCATCGCTGCGGCCATCTCCTGGAGGCATAACGCCACGTACCTCGAAATCGCAAGCTCCCGACTACTCGCATGCCTCAGATCTTGAAGCTTACCAGCCTCACCGTCTTCCTCGAGCCACCTCACACGCAGACTTCGGGACTCCTCCTGTGCGTCCTCTCATGCCCTCGCCTCATTCTGAACATCACCAATTTTATCATAATACGATTCCTGTCCGTGCATCACCCCACTCTCCCCTGCAGCAGAGGCCGCATACTGCAGGTCCGGCCGATCAGTACCATCAATCGGGATATTTTCCTGGACACCAACGCAACCAGCCATCTCGAATGGGTGCCATGAGCACGCTAAGCAGTGTGACAACGGCGACTTATGACGATGCTGCTACCGTGACATCGCGGGCTACAACCCAAGCTGGAGGCAAGCGGGTCAAGAAGAAGAAGAGTGCCTTTGGGTGGCTCAAGAAGGCGTTTAGCATGGACGAGGACGAAAAGGCAGAGTATGAGGCACGCAGAGCCATGCAGTACCGCGACAACTACTACGATGGGCACAGCCCCAAGTTCCTGGACGGAAGGAGAATTCGATAACTCGCTGGGAGCGAGTGTCTCTTGGAAACCTACCTATACTTACCTACCTACCTATTGGGCCTAACATGCCGCCCGTTTCACGCAAAGTCGTTTTTGCGAATTGATACCCGGCGACAGCCATCGCCTGATTTTGCAACATCAGCCATCATCTCATTATCATCTTGGATCTACTCTCGATCACATTTACAAATCACATCTCAGCATGCCTGATGGCATAACATGCTTGGCCTTCTTAGGCATTCGTTTATACTTGAATGCCACAAGTTCTGGGAACAGTAATTGTTTCTTCCCCATCTACCTAGCATATCATCTTGGTCAGCCGGCACTGGAGGCGTTTCTGGCTTGGGTTATACGGTAGCCGACGTTGTTAATCTACTATGGCGATCTTGTTTGTATGGACCGGATTAGCTGAATACTCTTTGGATTGGACACTGGGGGCGATGCTGGACAGTAGGCAGCTATGTAGTGAAGCCTTAACACGGGGAAATTATGACATTGAATGCAGGAAATGCCTGCGAAAGTATGTAGTGAGTGCGATCATAACGGCGTGGCCATAGCTGGAAAGAGTGATTTCCGATGTCTAAAGATGCACCACCCGGCTTGCTTCATTTCTGTCGTCTTGTAAGTGCGGTTGAAGATAGAAATATGTATATGAAACGCAAGCCTTGAATATGGACCAACGGACATGATATACAAGGCAAGGCATGTTTACCATTACTCGCTGAATCCATAGCTCTTAACCCGGCTAAAGAAGAAGGGCTTATCGTTCTTCAAGCCAAACTCGCCCCAATCATCCGTTAACTTGTTATAGCTGTAGAAACCGCGCCAGATGAGCTTGTTGTTACGGGCGCCTTTACCGGCGCTCCGCATCGACAGGTCCATGCGGTACATGTATTTGGAGCCAACACCCTCGGTCTCAACAAAGACGTCACCCTCCGGGTCGCGGTCCCGATCATGCGGGCCGGCGGCGATGGTGGGGCGATCCATGACGGAGGGGTCGTCCCGGTCCGCGGCGGAGGACAAACGCCACCGGCCGCGTAAGGCGAGGGCCATTACGGCCGAGGGGAGGTGGGGGTGCGCGACGTCGCGGTGCAGGTGTAGGTCCTCGCGGGTGAGGTGGTGGACGACGTCAGAGGGCTCAGCGGTGGTGAGCAGGCTGATGAGGGTGCCGTCGCGGAAGAAACGGAGGTAGCGGTAGTATGTGACGATGTGGATGGGGCTTCCCCAGTAGGTCTGGTTGGTAGAAATTTGACCGGTACGGACATAGTTGACGGTGCTGATGTAGCAGCCGTTGAAGCGAATGCGTGGCCGTGAGCGGAAGAGGTTCTTCCAGGTTGGGTAGACAGAGGGGGTGAGGGACTCTGTATAGGCGAGGTTGTCGGCATGTCGTCGTTGAGCTATCTCGGCGGGGCCGACGATGACACCGTCAACAATTTCAATGTCGTCTTGCTCCTCTTCTGGGAGGTCATCCCATTCAATGCCCCTTTCGAAGCGGTATAGCATAGAACTGAAGCCAACCTCTGAACCCATAGCAACTCGGCGCCAGATGCGCTGCTCAGTTGCTACGAGGTAGGCCAGCCGCTTGCAGACTCTAGATAAGCGAGCAAAGTCGCCGACGTCGGCAATGGCCACATCACGGAGGATGTGGACGAGAATCTCATCAGGGAGATCAGCCAGGGGGCATGGCGGCTGGGGCATACCCTCGACAGGAGGCGGCTGAGGCTCGATCTTGAGGCCAGAGAAGCTGGCGATGAGCTCGCCGATGGGCAATGGCTTTACTTCTTCGGCTTCATCAGCCTTGGGTTGTGATGTGATGGCTGTTGATGACCTGGTGGCTGTTGGTGAAGTTGGTCTTGGAGCCGCCTTTTGCGGGAAGTGCTTCTCTCGATATCTCCGATCAACACCATTGTCAAGCTGTAAAAGTTAGCACTTATTCATCTTTAAAAGACAGGAGACAAACCCGGTAAGCCTTGCGGTAAAGCTTTAGACTATCACCCATGTTTCCCTGAGCCTCCTTGTGCATAGCCTCCTCATAATGATCAAGAGCCGAAACGAGCTTCTTGCCCGAGCGTCCATGATGCACCTCACTGACAGGATGACCGCTCAAAGTCGGCTCCTCAGGCGCAGGTTCATCAAAAGATTGACCTTGGAGATAATCATCATCGTTATCGTCAGCCCCCGCAGGACCAGGAGCAGGCTTGTGCGACACAGGAGGTCCGTGGTGAGCCCGTCTCGAAGGTCCAGCCGTAGACTGTTGCTCGTCATGGTGGTCCTCGTTTCTGGTCCTGAGATCAGAGATCCACTGCTGGCGGAACGACTCTAGCTCCGAGTCGAGCTCTTGTCCGTTGGAAGAAGTCATGACTTGTGTGTGTCTTGTTTTGTCCGATATGTCCGAAAGGTGATTTTGCAAAGCGGTGTCTACAAAGGATTCATGATTACGTATACAACTTTATAGATGAAGGAGTTCAAGCGGTGAAGCTTTTAATTTGTTTGAGCTTGAGTATGTTGCCGCTTGACTCAGAAGGGGAGGAAATCAATTGAATGCAGGGGGTAGGTAAGAAGAGAGTAATTGCTTAGGTGTGATAACGTCTAGACGTGATTGATGATGCAAAGAGTATCGGATCTAGGGGATTGGTCAGGAGGATGAGCAGGGATCTTGGCCGGAAGCAGTTCGCCGCAAGAGTCATCAATTTGACGGTGGACAAATTGAGACTAGGCCAGTTTTAGACGGAACGGGAAAAGATGATCCGTTGGAAACGTTGGACGGTGTAACAACCACTTCGAGGGTGGTTAAATTTGCAGTGAAAGAAATAAGTCCCAATTCGCAGGGCTGCGCTCCATTCGAGTTTAATCTATTTTCTTTAATGATCTCAATTGCGCATGTTTAAAGTTACATTTCAAGGCTATTTTGGGGGATTGGCTTGCATTGAATAGTTAGGGGGGTTACTTGGTTGACGTTGTATCGAGCGTGAATGCATGTCACAATTGCCTCGGGATTTATATTTGCACGTAAAGAAATCTTGCATCCATCAGGCATGAACCAATGCCATAATCGCCTCGAAGGGGGTTAAATTTGCAGTGAAGGAGCGGCTCAATCAGGCTGGCGAATCATCCCGTCAAACCAAATTGGTGCTGAAGGGTACATACAAATGATTGCCTTGTTACGCCGAGCCTCATAATCGTCTTGAAGGGGGTTAAAGTTGCAGTGAAATCGCGAGGCCCAGGCTCTCATTGGCGCCTCGAAAAGTAGAAAAGATCACCCTACAAAAAGCCTCTGCCCCCCTGTTGATATGGCAGCCTGCTAGGATAGTAACAGCGACCGCTCCGTAAATTTTGAAGTCGAATAAGTGTCCTATGTAGTGCCAAAGTTAACAAAGGGGTGGATGATAGATCCCGCAACAGTCTGTAAATTTGCCGTGCCTTGCTGATTATCACTACGGGTTTGCATTCCGAAATGTCTCTGCAAGAAACAAGACTCTCATCGCGCATTGCTCAACTACACTGGTATGAGATGGGCTTTGCCGCTTTCTCGCGGACATGGCACCCGTCAAGAATGAGACAGCGACCTTATGAAGTCATCTACTCAAAGCTCCTAGGTATCATGCCATAGTTCTAGAAAGCGGCGGGGCCGGTTTCTCCTACAAAAACCGATCTCGTGAACTTCTCGACCATCTCCATTGAACAGCCCCCACTGAGGGTTAGCCATGATATTGGTGGTATGATGGCCTTGCCCTCGCGACGATAATCTGGGACGAGTGTCCACCCTGGTACGAGGACCCATGGACAAAGTAACAAAGGGAGCGTGGGGTGTTGTATTTCCCCTTGTGGCTTCACTCTGCTTTCAACTCCAAAGCCTTGGGGGAGGATATTCCTCAACTACCCAGGCTCCAGGTCATGGCAACTCGTCGGCCATTTGGGCATGAATGCAGGCTACCAACCCAACAAGTCCCAAAAGCTAGGAGCTATGCATTGTGGTTAATGTCCACTGGAAGTTTCAGCAAGACACAGCGGGGAACAGTGATTGGATAACTGGGGAAGAGGAGATGAGCTGAGCCATCTGAACTGATTATCTTATCCATCAAAGAGCTCGGCGACCCTTTTGGCCTCTAGACCCGATGTGGGCCTCTCCAAGCCAATCATATCGCAAAGTGACATCATGCCGGAAACCCGCGGCTCTTTGTCCAAGCGGCAGCTCAAGCAGCAGCTGGCATCGATTGGATCCAATGGAGCTCTGGCGGGCAATCGCAAGAGGGCGCGTCCACTAACTCCGTCGGTGGACGCTCACACTGTACGTACCTGCGTGTGTGTTGAGGGCAAAAAAAGTGTCGATTCGTCGCCGAGGCTCCGAACCCCGGCGCGTGCAAAAAGCCGGGGGGCGATGTCGCAGTTTTTTTTTCCCTCGTCATTAATGAACAAAGAAGAAGGAAAAAGAAGCAGTAGAAAATCGCGACAATTTTCTATGAAAACAGAAGAGAAGCCAATGCGTAGATTATCTCCACCTTGAAGCTGTTTAACTTGGTTGGGACATTCACTCAAGAGACGATACTAGCCGACAGCCCGACCGATTCTCCTCCGACCGGCCTCGGGGTTTTCCTCCGGATATTGGAGTCTTTTTTTCTTCTTCTCCTCACTTTTACCCCCTTGAGCTTTGGCGTTCCAGGCAGAGACAAAAAGGTGACGGAAGAGGCTGCTTTGTCTTGTCTACAGTAACTAACGGCTGGGAGCTTCGGTCTTGTTCCACCGACCGATGCCTTCGACGCCCTTGGATCGATCGCCACTTGCTACCAAGACAAGACCTCTCCACCAAAAAAGCACTACTCAACCGAGTCATCGTCATCGACGCCTCAGGTCTCTACTCTAAACTTGCTCTTTCAACCATTCATCTGATTTCTTGAACCTCTCGTCTTTTTCATCATATTCCGGCAAATCATGAACCAGACCTTCCAAGCCTGAACAAGAGACACCCCGGCTTCCCACAATGGCCCCTGTCGGAGCAAATCGTTCCGGCGGCTTCGACCACCACCACGATAACCAGCACCACCACCATCAGAGCCCGCTCCAGGCCGACGACGACTTTTCCCTCGCACACATGATTGATACGGAGCCCAACGGCCCCGACAATGGGGGCTCGCCGTCTGTTTCTGGCGCTGGCGCTCGAGGTCCTGGCAACAACGACGTCGTCGACATTACGGCTGGGCAAAAGATGGTATCGGCCATGTCGGGAAGCCTTCTAACTTCGCTACTCGGTACGCCTCGCTGTCCACAGATTCATTCAACTGCGATCTAACAATTTCTAGTTACACCCCTCGACGTCGTCCGCGTGCGCCTCCAATCCCAAAAAGCCCCCGTCTCGACCGTCGACTTCTCTAAGCTCGCCATCACAACCTCATCCCTCACGCCCGCCCAGACCGCCGAGCTCGGAATCACATCCTGCTGCCGCGAAGTCTTCTTCTCGGGTGGCAACGCCGATTTTTGCCTCGCCGCCCCGCGCATCGAGGGCATCGCAGCCGCTCCCCCAGCCGCAGAGTGTGCGGTCGAAGAAGTCCAGCGCCGAACTTTCAGCACAACTTTTGACGGCTTGCGCAAGATCGCCCGTAATGAGGGCTTCACCACGCTGTGGAGGGGTTTGTCGCCTACGCTCGTCATGGCTATTCCCTCGAATATAATCTACTTTACTGGTTACGATTGGTTGCGGTACA